CTCTTCCCACACTTTAAAGACAAGCCCAAACAGCTGTCAAAAGTTGAAATATCTTAGACCCCACAGCATTTTTCAGCCTTAACCCTTCCTCCACTCTTCTGCTCTCCTTTTGCTCAGCTTAAGAGTAAAAACCAGACTTGCAAAACAGGAGGTAGGATATCTCCTACTTCTTACCCAGCCAACCCCTAAGAAGTCCTAGCTAGAAGTGGCACTTATTTTCAGAAGTGTGGTGGTGAGCAGGGATGGGAAGAAGAGGCAATCGATTGGAATCCATGAATGTCTTGGACTGCACACCATTAAGTAGAAGCAGTTATATTACAGATGTGTTTAAATCCAGCTAAAATGATACCCCAAAAGGGCATTTTAATAAAGCTAACCTGAATCTATGAATAATTTGAGATTTTACACCCTTACATAAAGGCAGTGTTGTAATTTACACAATAAGGTCCAGCTAAAATGACAGCCAGTACAGGGCCTCACGGGCTTGCTTCAATGATGTGGGGGTCATACACTACAGGCCCTTGGACTGCTCTCATGACTGCTAGACAAGCGCTTGTCATGAGTCAGGCAGGCTCATCATGGACACTGGCCCCAGGTAAATGTCATCACAGACTCCTGGGCCCATCAGGATCCAACTTGCTGGGGGAGAATAAAGGCATTACAGCATTTTCTGCTGTCCTGTTTCATTCAGGCTCACAGCACGTGCCTAATTTAGACACTTGACTGATGTCTTAGGTTGGTTCCTCTAGAGAAGCAAAACCAGTAAAGCGTATAAATATACATTTATATCAAAGAAATGGCTCACGTGGTTGTAGAGGCTGGAACATTCCAAGTTCATGGGTCAGGATAGATTCACATAGCTGCAGGGATTGGCGAAACCAAGATGGGCAGGTCAGAGAGCAGGGCGGTTGCTCACAGGCTGCAAAGATCAATGAATCCCAAGATTGGCAGGCAAGACTGTGGGTAAGCTGTTAGCTCAAGTCCCAAAACCAGAGGTCAGATGAACAAGAGCCAGCTGTAGGATCCAGAGCGAGCAAAAGCCCACGAGCCTTGCCAGAATGTCCACTTATATTCGTTGCAGGCCACACGCCCAAGGAAACACCCTTTCAACTGATTGGCGACTCACAGCAGTTCCTATCATGGAGGTGATCACATTATATCAAATCTCATCATTGAAGTGATCACAACATCATACGACTGTCAGACCACTAAGAATCATGGCCCAGCTAAGCTGACACACACCTTAACCATCACTACTAATTTGGGTTGGACCTTTGGATGCAGGTGGCATTCCTGAGCCCTGAAGAGATTGAGGCTCTACCACCCCCAGCTGCTGCCGGGAACTGGCATCTTGACTGCGGTCATAGGAAGTGGTGGTCATATCAAGCACGGCTGCCTGTGAACCTCAGTGTTTGCCAATGGGTGGGGAGAGGCCTGGCAAGTGGTGGAGATGGGCCACTCAGGTCAGCTCTCTGAGCCCAGCCCACATGAGAATGTGCACAGAGATATATGGACTCCTGCCAACCCCTAACCAGAAAAGATTCGGTTGTGGGAAAGACACCACCTCCAAGAACTGAAGTGTAGCGGCCGCATTTCTCTCCACAGCAGTGTAGGTCCCGGGCCTCAGCATCATAGGGAAAAAACTGACAGAGCAGAAGGGCAGGTTTCCCTTTGAAACACATTAAATTCACATTGTCCCAACCCAGGCAGACTCTCTCATCTGGATGGCCTAGCCTAGAACAGTTTCATACATTTGTTTGGGAGGGGAAGAGAAACTCAGAGGTGTGGTGCTACCGGGAGGGGTTTGGAAACATGGGGCCGCAGGTCAGCTCTCTCTGCCCCTAGTGGAAACTAGGAGGTGGGCCCCACCACCTCCTGGGAGAAAAGAAGCTACACTTTTGCATTAAGTAATCAATCAAAAAAAAAAAAACAAGCCTCCTATAGTTAATAACTACTCCAGGGCAGGAACTGGAAAGAAAAACAGCAGCAGCAGCCTAGATGGTTGTTTCTCTTCTCTGCCTACAGCTGCCTCTCTGCACACCCTTCCCAGGGCCACCCCTGTGTGTCTGCCTTGTCTCTCCTACTCCTGGACAGGCTGTGTTCTGAGGAGCTTGGGGTGGCAAGAAATAAAACAAGGGGATTCCCATTTTGTATCTTTTGAGATTTCTATTTCCTCAGACATAAAAGTGATGAACACCACCAGAACTGCCACCTTGCAGTGCTACTGTCCACTGACAGAACACTTTGTAAGCTGCTAATAAAAGTGCTGTACAAACCTTTAGTGACTGAGGAAAGTAGGGGAAAACCCTCCACCCCAGGCAAGGGACCCCTGGGGGTACTCCTCAAAGCTTAGGACCTGTAAAATAATTCTCAGCCCATGGGCCCAATTGTCCAGCCTGGCTAGGGAGAAAAACTATGCACCCCCAGCGCTACCAATAATACTCGGGAGTTCTTAGCATCCCCTTTCTTGCCAAAGCCCAAACACAGCAATTTCAGATCTAAAAATGCCTCATAAGTGGAAAAGATTTTTACTTTAATATCCATTTCATCAAGGGATGTGAACTGAAACACAGGTAACTTACCCACAGTCACCAACCAACCAGGCTACAAGGACAAGTTGTAATCCGGCCACCTGGCTAAGTTTTCTTTCCCCTGAATCGGGATCCCAACTCAAGTGGTTCAACAGAAGCACCCAGGTAGCTTTAAATAATCCAGGTTCTCAGATTGAGTCAGAGGTCTGGGGTGGGGCCTGGGAATCTGTTTTCAGCAGCGGCTGGAAACCACATCTGCTTTCAGGGCTTCCCATGGGCATGCAGGCTTGGCTGGGCTGGCCACATAGGGAGCTGGAGGAGGACAAAAGTACCAGCAGAGTTAGGCCTGGGAAGGAAGAAAAATCATTCCAGCAACAGATGGCCTGCAGCTCAGCCCTGGCTCCAGAATGCAAAGAGATTATCCAAAATAGGCACTCAGCAGGAGGCATCTGCCACATGCATCATGCCTCATGCAGCTGCCACAGCTCTGAGGAAAACACACCCATCGTGCCCCACTTTCAGCACAGACACTTCTGAAACGCAGTGTGGACTGGGGGAGGCATGAGGGCAGCACATGGAATAAGGTGAGAAGCAGTAGAAAGTTATTTTCCTACAGCTTGTCAAGGATGGGTGAGAGAGCTGTAACCTACAACAGTCAGGGTAGGCGGCTTTTCTCAAGCCCTGGTCCCCCCAGGCCTCAGAGCAGTGGGTATCTGAGGAAGGAAGTGGCACGAGTTGAACAAAGCAGATCCATCTGCCTCAGTTATCAGAGGAAAATTATAACAAATTTGTGTGGTCTAGAGTTAGGACCTCCCAACCTTCCCAATCAAAAGCTCCTGTCTTCCTCTCTGCCCACCTCATTCTCCAGGCCCTCTCTCCTCCATGCCCTTCAGGATCCTAATAAATGACCAACAGTAGGGAAAAATAGGTAAACCTTTATTTGGAAAAAGAGAGTTTAAATGACCATTTAAAACCCCCATTTCATTTCCAAAACAAAAACAAGTAAGAAAACAAGGAAAAGAAAATCTATCAAACGCCTGTCCTCTGTCATCTTTAGCCATCTTTTACCTGCATTTCCTGGCAGGAGAGAAGAGTGGGAGGGGCCCTAGTCCTAGGAGCCAACAGGGCACTGTCTTGAGACCATCTCAGGAGGTGCCAGCAGAGAGACAGACCATGTGAGCAGTGGGGACAGACAGGCCTGGGGCTCAGACAGGCACAGGCCCAGTATCCAGGAAACAGTGTTTCAAAATGTACAGCAGAGATAGATAAACTCAGGCACGGAAAGCTTATAACCATGAATGCAGCAGCAGAATTCAAGCTGGGTCTTTGGCTTTCCAAAAAGGGAAGAGCATTAACCTCTGGAACTGTCCCTAACACAAGCCTCTGGCCATTCTCTTCAGTCCCATTCTGGAGGCCAAGTAGGGCAACCGCAACTCAAGCCTGTCAGGCCAAAAGCTGCTCGGAGTCAAAGGGGTGCAGGGAGAAGCTAGCCCAGGTTCACCCCAGGCCACAGCCCTGCAATGACAGAGTAAGCATGTAGGTGACACAGTATGAGCTAGGGAGCCCCCGAGTGGGCCAGCATGCGCCTGTGCTTGCAGAGGACAGCAGAGGCAATGAGTAGCCAAGGCCTTGCTGGCCAAAGCACATCCTCAAACACCACCACTCCAAGTTCTTGGACCAGTTTTGCCCAAGGCCACTGTTGTGCTAAGGTGTGGCCTGAGCTAAATACCAGGCTTTTCTAGAGAGAAATGGAAGGGACTGGAAGAAGAGGGAGGCAACAGAAAGTAAAATGTGGGGGGAGAAAAAGAATAGAAACTTGTTTCTAAGGTGTGCAGAGGAAAGAACAAGTCCAGCTGAGGCAGCTGCAGAGCCTCCCTGCTCTTCCCCCCACTACTTCTCCTGCCCTTGCCTCAGCTCTCAAGGCTGCAGAGTCCAGTAAGACAAGAGAGTTTCCTGGGGGGTTTCTCCTCCTCCTCTAAAAGTCTTAAACCTCAAGCCACCATCCCAGCCCAATGAACCCACACAGGATTCAAACTTTGCCTCCCTCAAGACAACCTGGGGAAAGGGAAGAGCCCTAAAGAATTCATGCCAGGCCTCTGGGGAGCCCTGTATCAGAGGCGCAGAAGCCACTGGGGCAGGTGGTACATCCCTGAATCTGCTGCTCCAGACTGTAGGGCCCATTTGCTCCCAGAGGCCAGACAAGGATTATACCCTGGTTGGTGTGATGCATCCCTAAGGAAACACAGAGGATAAAAAGAGAGAAGGGCCCATGCCCCTGCTGCTGCCCGGCAGCACACAGTGCTACATCATGCCCGTAACCTGTCTCTACGCCTACAGCCCCAATGTGGAAAGGGGCTGGTCGGACGCAGCCATGGCTGTACACAGAGCATCCCCACCCCAAGAAGACACATGCACAACATACACAGCTCACAGGTGCATGCCAGGCAAGAGGGCTGGGCCCAGAGGTCATGAAGGCAGGGAGAAGGTCGGGAAGAAGGTACCAAGAAATGGCCTGAAAGCAAATAACCAATGAGATCAATAGCTCCCGCAACCCTGGTAATTAAAAATCAAGGGGGAGTGCTGGATACATGGAAGGAAGAGGGAACCCCCCTTCTGCCTCTCCCAGGGCCACTGAGTATGTGGCACAGGATTAGGAAGAGGTTGGGTGGGGCAGGGACCACCTGGGGGAAATCTAACCATGGGACAAAGGGAAGGAGGAGGGGGAGGGGAGGGGACTTAAGTTTCTTGGATCTAAGTTTCCAGAAGCATGGGATATTTCCACAGTCTCTGATCCAGTGAGCTCTTCTGGAGGAGAAGCCCTCTTCCCCTGGGAGCCCCATCATGGGGCGGTGACTTCCATTCCAAAGCTGGCCAGCAGGCAGAGGTGGTCTGAAGAGTAGAAGGGGTTGGGTAAGCCATTGGCAGCCCAGAGAATCTCTTCAGAGAGGAGGGAGAGACGGCCCAGAAGCTTGAGAGTTCCATCTCGATACAACCTGCGATCTGGGGCACAAAGTGGAAACCAGTGGGTAAAGAAGCCACAGTCACACTGCCTGAGGCTGGGAGGGAGCCTTCTGTAGGCAGCACTCCCCTGGCCGCCCCACTCTCCCTCACCTTCTCCTCTGCCTCTGCCTGAAGAGGCCTTGTTTTCTCAGAGATACTACATGATAGTATCAATGAATGAAGCAGGAAAGTGCAGGGGACTGTGGCAAACTGGAAAGTGTATGCCCAGGCCCAGCATTACAAGAGTTTCTGATTTTCCAGGAGAAGCTAGAAATCTACATTTTTTTTTTTTTTAAATACAAAATCTGAATTTTAAATGCAGGCAACTAATTCAAACATTAAAAAAAAAATTCTGTAAACAAAACAGGCATGGGGCTAGGGGACTGCTAGGCTGTGACTACCGGTCTGGGTTGAGAAGACAGGAAATAAGGTCTCTAACCTAACTAAAAGGAGCCCTGGTGGCACAGTAGTTAAGCACGCAGCTGCTAACCGAAAGGTTGGCGGTTCAAACCCACCAACTAGCTGCTCCTCAGGAGAAAAATGCGGCAGACTATGTCCATAAAGATTACTGCCTTGGAAACCCTATGGGACAGTTCTACTCTGTCCTATAGAGTCATTGAGTTGGAATTGACTCAATGGCAACAGGAACCTAACCAAGTCCCTCATTAACTGGCTGCTGATGAACAAAGTCAATCACTAACTGGTGCTCTATTTTCACCTCTAAAATAGGGATAGAGAGTGCTTGTTCTACTTACCTCTCTCTAATACTGCAAGGATAAAGACAGAGAAGGCAATCAAGTGTCCTATGAGAAGTATAATGAGACTAGTGCCAGGCAGGTATGAAATCTGCTCCTTGGCTGGTCCCAACTCTAGCAGCCCAAGCTATGCCACCAAACGCCTGACCTACTACCAGCTCTTCCCAGGGACCTTTGGGGTGACCTTTAGGAACCCAGGATCTAACAGGCTTACCAGTTCTGTCCCCATTATCACAGGACTCAGCTGAGAAGAAGATGTAATCCACTGTCGTGCCAAGACCCAAGGGCATGGTGGTGACCTCTGGGCAGCCATGCTGGGGCAGGAAATGGGTATACACCGAGGTCAGGTGGAGGCAGTGCTGGATGGCACCTACAGTCCTACAGGGATGGAGGGGGAGATGTCAGTCAACAAAAATTACTGAACCTTTCCAAGGACACATTCTCTGTGGGTTTAAGGGATATCCCCGAATGACTCAATCTCAGCACATTCCTTACCATGCTAATAAGAGGCAGGCATTCTTAGTTAAAATTAGCCTAGAAACAGCCACAATTATACTGAGTCCCCCTGACATTCCTCACTGAGTCCCCGTGACATTCCTCACTCCCTCCTCTCCACTTGCTACCTGGTAAAGTCTACTTAACATATCCCTGAGTGTGGGCCAGCATGCTCTTCTGTGAGGGCTTGCTCCCGAGGAAGGAGGGCAAGGGCTTTGTCATCTGCAAGAACGTGCGTAGGGGGCACCTCTGGTCTCTGCACACCTGTATGCCACTCTGTAAATTTAGCAGCCATTAGGAGAAGAGAGCATTTAGTAAAAAATGCTCCCTAAACTCGGCCTCAGGAAAGACAGTGGGAATCTCTCTCATAACGTAGGAGGGACTGGAATGAAAGTGGAAGGGAAGTGGAAGGAAGATTACCTGGGAAAGGCAGGTTCAGGCTCGGATATATCTTCCTCAAGGACAGACTCGACCCAGCCAGCAGGTCGCTCTGTAGAGGACCACAGAGATAAAGATTTTAACATCCATAGACTGTGAAGCAGGGTCAGAGCCTCTCCATGGATTCCCTCTCAGATCCTTGACTGGATTGCTCCAGAAAGGGAAACAGAAAGTAAGAAGGTGAGGGGAGAAGAAGGCCAAGAACCAAAGCCAGGAACCTCAGGAAGGCAAACATAGAGGCCTCTGACATAGTCTTCCTTGGCTCAGCACCATTTTTTTTTTTAATTTAAATTTATTTTTTAGAATAGGTAATACATCCAACATGGTAAAAAAAATCAAAATGTAGAAAAATCATCAGTGAAAAGTCTCCCACTCCTGCCCCCACCACTCAATTTCTTTCTCCAGACGCAACCAATGTTACCAAAATTCAGAGATTTTCTAAGCACACATCGTAATATGTATGTATGTATAAATACATGCATACACACATATACACACAAATATGTACATATGCATACATATATTGTTGTTGGTTCCCACTGAGTCAACTATGACTCATGATGACCTTATGTACAACAGAATGAAACGCTGCCTGGTCTTATGTCATCCCCACAATTGCCAGCATATTTGAGTCCATCACTGTGGCTATTGTACCAATCCATCTCATCGAGGGCCTCCCTTGCGCTCGACAGCCCTCTACTTCACTACACATGATGTCCTCCTCTAGCGATTGAGCCCTCCTAATGATGTGTCCAAAGTGAGCAAGTCAGACAATGTTCTGCTGTGATCCATAAGGTTTTCATTGGATAATTTTTGGAAGTAGACTGCCAGGCCTTTCTTCCTAGTCTGTCTTAAGCTGGAAGCTCTGCTGAAACCTATCCATCATAGGTGACCCTGCTGGTATTTGAAAAACTGGTGGCATAGTTTCCAGCATCAAAGCAACACACAAGCCACCACAGTACAACAAACTGACAGGTGGGTGGTAGATACATACATATACATACACGTGTAAAGAAAAAAGAAGACACATGTATTAGGGCCTCTAGTGTTGTCCCTATTTTTTCTTCCATGATCTTTATTGTTTTAGGTTTTATATTTAGGTCTTTGATTCATTTTGAGTTAGTTTTTGTGTATGGTGTGAGGTATGGGGTCTTGTTTCTTTTTTTTTTTTTTTTACAGATGGCCATCCAGTTTTGACAGCACCATTTATTAAAAAGCTTCCTTTTCCCCATTTAATGGATTCTGGTCCTTTGTCAAAGATCAGCTGACCATAGGTGGATGGATTTATTTTTGGGTTCTCAATTCTGTTCCACTGGTCTATGTGTCTGTCATTGTACCAGTACCAGGCTGTTTTGACTACCGTGGCTGTATAGAAGGTTCAGAGATTAGGTAGTGTGAGGCCTCCTACTTTCTTATTTATCTTCAATAATACTTTGCTTATCTGGGGCCTCTTTCCTTTCCATATAAAGTTGGTGATGATTTTTTCTATCTCTTAAAAACTGCTATTGATATCTGGGTTGGGATTGCATTATACCTATAGATCAGTTTGGGTAGGACTGGCATTTTCATGATGTTGAGTCTTCCTATCCATGAGCATGGTATGTTTTTCCATTTATGTAGGTCTCTTTTGGTTTCTTAGAATAGTGTTTTGTGGTTTTCTTTGTATAGGTCTTTTACGTTCCTGGTTAGATTTATTCCTAAGTATTTCATCTTTTCAAGGGCTATTGAAAATGGTATTGCTTTCCTGATTTCCTTTTTGAAGTTCTCTTTGTTGGTGTATAGGAATCCAACTGATTTTTGTATGTTAATCTTGTATCCTGCTCCTTTGCTGAACCTATTAGTTCCAGTAGTTTTCTCATGGATTCTTTGGGGTTCTCTATGTATAGGATCATATCATCTGTGAATAGGGATAGTCTTACTTCTTCCTTTCCAAATTGGATGCCCTTTATTTCTTTTTCTTGCCTCATTGCTCTAGCTAGGACTTCCAGTACAATGTTAAATAGGAGTGGTGATAAAAGGCATCCTTGTCTTGTTTCCATTCTCAGGGCAAATGCTTTCAGCCTCTCTCTGTCGAGAATGATGTTGACTCTTGGTTTTGTGACGATGCCCTTTATTATGTTGAGAAATTTCCCTTCTATTCCTATTTTATTGAAATTTTTTATCAGGAATGGTGTTGGACTTTATCAAATGCCTTTTCTGCATCGATTGAGATGATCATGTGATTATTCTCTTCTGTTCCTTTTATATGGTAGATTACGTTGATTGATTTTCTAATGCTGATCTATCCTTGCATACCTGGTATGAATTCCACTTGGTCATAGTTATTGTTTTTTTTATATGATGTTGAATTCTATTGGCTACAATTCTGTTGAGAATTTTTACATTTATATTCATGACAGATACTGATCTGTAATTTTCTTTTTTTGTGGAGTCTTTGGCTGGCTTTGGTATCAGGGTTATGCTGGCTTCATAGAATGGATTCGGGAGTATTCCTTCCTTTTCTGCGCTCTGAAACAGTTTGAGTAGTACTGATGTGAGCGCCTCTCTGAATGTTTGGTGGAATTCTCCAGTGAAGCTGTCCATGGCAGGGCTTTTTTGTTGTTGTCGTTGGGAGTTTTTTGTTTTTGTTTTTAATTACTTCTTGAATCTCTTCTCATGGGTCTGTTCAGATTTTCTATCTCAGCCTGTGTTAGTTTAGGTAGGTAGTGTGTTTCTATAAATTTGTCCATTTCCTCTAGCTTCTCAAATTTGTTGGAGTACAATTTTCCATAGTATTATGTTACGATCCTTTTTATTTCAGTTGGGTCTGCTGTAATATCCCCCATCTCATTTCTTATTTGGGATGCTTCTTCTCCTGTTTTCCTTTTGTCAGCTTGGCCAATGGTTTGTCAATTTTGTTGATCTTGTCAAAGAACCAACTTTTGGTCTTGCTGATTCTTCCTCTTGTTTTTCTCTTCTATATTTCATTTATTTCTGCTCTAGTCTTTATTATTTCCAGTCTTCTGGTGGCTCAGTGCTTCTTTTGCTGTTCTCTATTTGTTCGAGTTGTAGGGCTAACATTTTTATTTTGGCCTGTTCATCTTTTTTGATGTGTGAGTTTATTGCTTTAAATTGACCTCTGAGCACTGTCTGTGCTGTGTCCCAAAGATTTTCGTACGATGTGCTTTCATTCTCATTTAACTCTAGGAATAATTT